ACAGGTTGATCCTCTAGCAGTTTTAGTCCTGCAGCAAATGAGAGCTGATGGCATTTGGGCTTGACAATTACCCAATCTCTGGTTTAACTTTTATTTCCACGTTTCCTGCTCCTGCTCCAATGGCTCTGTATGTGCACAAACATGCACGTGTATACTGAGTTCCCTGACTGGGATCTGGTGCTCCTCAATCAAACGTGGGCAGAATTTAAACCAGGAACATGACTCAGGACTGTGGCTGCAGACTGAGCCCAGAGAAGGTCCTTAGAAAAACTGAGAATCAGGCTGCTTGCCTTGGATCTTCTCCTAATTCCTAGCTAGCCTCTCTGTCCTCAGTTTTCTGAACAATAAAATGGGAATAACTATACCTATTCTGGCCTATTTCACAGCATCATGCTGGGATCAAATGAGACAATGTATGTGAAGGTCATTTCCCTTCAGACAGTGATAGGACAGGCTAGACAGGCAGCCAGACTGCAAAGCTAGGTTCAGCCACTAGAATGGGTAGGCATCCTGATTGTATCAGAAGTTTAAAGTGATCTAGACTCATAGTTTCAGTTTGTGTTGTCCCTCTGCCTGGAATATCCTTCTACCTTTGCTAAACTCCTATGCATTTTTAAGAACCCAATTCAAATAACATTTCTTTTTTGTTAGTTTCTTCAGAATTAACCATTCCATCTTTACTGCTCCTTTGGTCTTTTGTATATACCTCTAATAGCATTTTTCACTCTATACAGTAGATATTTACTTATGTATGTGGAAGTTCTTTGAGGGCAAAGACCATTTTTTTTCATCCTTGTACTCACCTCCCACCCACTCCCACTGTATGGCCAACACTGGTGCATGACAGGTGTCAACCAATGTTTATGGAATGGATAATAACTCAAACTCAGGAAAGAGGTAAATGTCAGAGAGACCCGGGAAAGCAGAAAAGATGGGACGCACAAACAAACAGCCAGTGGCAGGGACGGTGGGCAAGAAATCCAAGAAGGCAGTGTCACTGAGGTCAGTCCTAGACAATAAGGGCACAGCCATAGGGATGACAGTCAAAGCTGAACTGCAAGTTCTGGGAAGACCAGACAGTGATCTCAACTTGGAAACACAAAGAATTGGACAGACAGCAGGGGCACTCTATTGAGGTCCAGGGAATAAGGAACAGTGGCATCATACCAGGTCCCACAACCTAAACTGGAATAAGAGAGCCTGGGGACAAGAAACAAGGGCAGAGAATAGAGTCAGGGCAAAGAATCAGAGCAAGGCTGAAGTGATACTGAAGAAGCCTGGAACTTATAGATTAGTTAACATTCCCAGGTCTGCCAAAGTTGAGTTAGCAGCTAGGGATTAGAGACCTTAGCTCTGAAACTGGCTTGGAAAGCAGAAAGCTGTCGGGCTATACATCTGCAGTGAAGGGGCAAACAAACCTGTTCACAGACATCCTGCCCTGACATGTGCATGCTCGGATTAATCCAGATCCCTGTACTACCCCAGAAAATTTCCAGGAGTGCCTAGAGAGGCCCAATATCTAAGGTAAAACTGACAGGGAATGAAACACAGAGTTTTCACCACCATAAGAACATTAAAGGAAGGTCTGCAAGGTCTAAAATCTCAAATAAAATCTGGCTAGAGAGGAGACACAGCTCAGAAGAAAAGAATTGAGACTCTTTAGGGAATTAGAGACCCTTATTCCCAGACATCAAGAACTTCCACCCAGGAAAGGGCACATAGAAAAAAGGACCTCAATTTTACTTTATCTACAGAGTATGTGACCTTCTTCAATCATTTCAAGTTCAAGAACCAGGATCATTGTTTACCTACTATGTGATCAGTAGGGGCCAGCAGAGTTTACCCATTCTTAGCCTTAGTCTCCTTATTCATAAAGCAGCAATTGTAACATCTGCACACAGGTTTATCATGAAGACAAAATAATATCTGCCAAGTATTTAGTATATTGGCCTATAATAAGCACTAAATAACTTTGTGTTTGCTTTCTTTGGTTCCCAGGAAGGGGTGGTTATACCACAGTCTAGTTCTACCTGTGTTTTCCTCTCCTGCTTGGCTGTCCTTCTGGACCCTTCTGTGCAGACATCCCATCTGAGTCACAAGACAGTTCACGCCTCCTCCTGCTTATCTCTTGGATATTAAAGGCAATTAAGAAGAATTAAAGCCAATTGGCCAGCTATGTACCACACTCAGGTCCTCAAGGGTCAGGAATCTTCAGCCTAGTCCAACACTGTTACTGCCTCTCCAGAATCTACAAAGAACTAAAATAGATTTACAGGGGAAAAAAAAAAAAAAAAAAAAAAAAAAAAAAAAAAAAAAACTCATTCAAGAGTGGGCAAAGGATATGAACAGACACTTTTCAAAAGAAGACATATGAGGCCAACAAACAGGAAAAAATGCTCATCATCACTGGTCATTAGAGAACTGCAAATCAAAACCACATTGAGATACCATCTCACGCCAGTTAGAATGGCAATCATTTAAAAATTTGGAGAAAACAGATGCTGGAGAGGATGTGGAGAAATAGGAACACTTTTACACTGTTGGTGGGAATGTAAATTAGTTCAACCATTGTGGAGGACAGTGTGGTGATTCCTCAAGGACCTAGAAACAGAGATTCCATTTGACCCAGCAATCCCATTACTGGGTATATATCTAAAGGATTATAAATCGTTCTATTATAAAGACACATGTACATGTATGTTCATTGCAGCACTGTTTACAATAACAAATACCTGAAACCAACTAAAATGCCCATCAATGATAGACTGGACAAGGAAAATGTGGCACATATACACCATGGAATACTATGCAGCCATAAAAAATGATGAGTTCGTGTCCTTTGTAGGGACATGGATGAATCTGGAAACCGTCATTCTCAGCAAACTGACACAAAAACAGAAAATCAAACACCGAATATTCTCACTCATAAGTGGGTGTTGAACAATGAGAACACATGTACACAGGGAGGGGAGCATCACACACTGGGGTCTGTCGGCAGGCACTAGGGGAGGGACAGCGGAGGGTAGGAAGTTGGGGAGGGATAACATGGGGAGAAATGCCAGATATAGGTGATGGGGATGGAGGCAGCAAACCACATTGCCATGTATGTGCCTATGCAGCAATCCTGCATGTTCTTCACATGTACCCCAGAACCTAAAGTGCAATTCTATAGATAGGTAGATAATAAATAAATAATAAAGTTTAAAAAAAAAAAAGATGTTCCTAACCTTTGCTCTTGTAATTGCATCCCCAAAATCATATCTTAAGGAAACAGTTCGACAGAGATTCACTAGTGATGAAATATATATATATATATGATCTAAATGTCCAATATCCAAAGCACAGTTTGAGAAATCCCAGAACCTTCTAATCATGTAATGTTTATTGTATAGCCATTTTAAATGATCAGTTTAAAGACAAAGAGGGAGAAAAGCAAAGCATCTGTGATAAAGACCGAAAACAAAACCTCATAAATGCTATTGATACAACTTGTAGAAGCATGGACACATGCATATATAAAAAGGAATGTTGCTGTTCTAGGGTAGTAAGATTATGGAAATCTTCCATAATAGTAAATTATTTTATTACATGTAAATTGTTTTTATAGTATTGTTTAGTACCTTTCCAATCTAAGAGAAAGAGAGTTAAAAAAAAAAAAAAACGACAGACACAATCCAGCACTAAGAAAAGGCTCAGGAAGACCAGGGCTGAGATGTGAAAGCAGAAATTGAGAGCCGTCCTACATACCCGGAAGGAGGAGGCCAGGCAGGGCCCTGGGGAAGGGAAGCCCTCTAGGTATGGAAAGGGTTGTAATTAGTCTGATGCTAATTACAGAAGTCTCACTAGCTTATTAATTTTTTTGACAGACTCTGAATGAAGACTGAATTCCTTCATTAAGCCAACTTGGGTTCAGAGGCACATTTCCTATGTGGCTATCCTCATTCTTCTAAAAAATCTTGCCTTTTCTTTTTTCTTTTTTTTTTAAGGGTAACAGTAAAGTAATATTTAGTAACAGAAACACACACCCTAGAGAAATTAAGACTCCTGCCTTAAATGTAGAAATTCAAGCCATTTCAGAAAATCAAAGGGGTTTGAATAAGCAACTGAACTGCAAGGTTTTCTACACTGGGAAAAATAAACATGAGCATAAAATATTTAGTTCAGTATTAAAGGCCCCTTGATCAGGTTCCAGGCAGTCTTTCTGATATTACCTCATAATCGTCCCTCCAGATACCCAGTGCTCCAGCCAAACCGAACCATGAGTGGTCCCCAAAACAGTTTCTTCACCTTCCTACCACCATGACTCTGTTCAAGCTATTGCACACACTTAAAATTTCTGCCTCTTTCAATTGCTTGCTCAGGTCTGACCCATCCTCCAAAGCACAGATCCAAGGCTTGTGATTTTGTTTTTCTGAGATGGAGTCTTGTTCTGTCACCCCAACTGGAGTGCAGTGGCACAGTCTTGGCTCACTGCAACCTCCGCCTCCTGAGTTCTAGCAATTCTCCTGCCTCAGCCTCCAGAGTAGCTGGGATTACTTATAAGAGCGTGTAATCCCAGCTACTCTGGATTTGTATTTTTAGTAGAGATGGGGTTTCACCATGTTGGTCAGGCTGGTCTTGAACTCCTGACCTCAGGCAATTCACACACCTCAGCCTCCCAAAGCGCTGGGATTACAGGTGTGAGCCACTGAGCCCAGCCAGCCTTGTCATTTTCAAAGCCCAGGCCAATCTCTATACCCTGAGTTCATTTTTTGCTCGTCACAGTAGATCCAGAGTACTTTTAATCTCCAAGGAGCTACACAAAGTCTGCCTTGCAGTATAGTTATCTGAGTAACTGACTTTTGACCACATTAAAGCCTGGGCTCCTTGGGGCATGGACCCCTCCAAATTCCTACATGGAACCTATCCATAATGCCTGGCACACAGTAGGCCCTCAGTAAATGCTTCACTGAAAGGCAAGAAAAAGGAACACATTACATCTGTGAGAAGTCACTTCCTACCTCGGTAGCTCCAGTTAAGCAATGCAGAGATGAGGGCATGCTGTTCGGTGGTCTTGAACAGGGGAGAAATGAATCTTGCTTTTCTAGTTTCCAGCCTTCATAAGTCTCCAACTTCCTCCCTAGTTGACCATAGTCTGCTCGGCCCCAGGTAAACACCTTCCCAGTTTCTAAAAACAAATATTATTTGAATTAAGACTACATTCCACAGCTGTGCTCCCGTGGATAGGCAATTAATTACAAGAGAAAGTGTGACATTTATTTTAGCACCAACTACCAGGAGCCTTCCTATCTTCATGTAAAGAAGGCACAAGTATTCACATTTTTACAGATGTGGAAACCAAGGTTCAGAGAGGTTGAATGACTTGCTTAAGATCAAACAAGCTGTGAGTACCAGAGCTGGATTCAAGCAGAGATTCATTCTAAAGCTTACACTCTTGCATGTTACACAGATACGGATATGATTATGGATATAACTTCAACCATGCTTTATGGCCTTCCACTCCCTCCCTTCCACACATACTCCTTGTGCTTTGCCCAGATGCCTGTTCTCAGGTTCTTCTCTCCCCCACCCAACCCAGGGCCCCATTTAGTCACCTTGAAGTTCTCCGCTCCACAATCTCTTAGGGCCTAGCTCAATCAATGGCCAGATTCATTTGCTTTCCCCACCTTGTAACATAAGGGGACCTTTCAGAATCTGTGCTTTTACCCAAAGGAGCAATTCTAACAATCCTAAGGCAAGTGCTTATGTGTGCTAGAGGGAAGGGAGTGAGAGAAGAAAAAAAATGGCAAAACCATTTGGAGTCAGAAAAGCATTTAGTCCCCCAGATGCACCACATGGGAAGCTAGCCAGTGCTAAAAATGACAAAAGAAAATGAGATTTGCAAAAGGAGAAATGGACTTTCTTCTCCCAGATAAGAGAAAATTCACCAAAATCATTCAGTTCTACCAAGTGCCACATTTGTTATTTCAACAGAAATGCAAAATCTGATGAGGCATAGATTATTAACAGATTCTCTGCAATAAATATGCATAACCATGTGCGTTGTATAAATTCTTTATACATGTTTATTTTAACAAAGAAAAACTTTGCTTTAGAGACAAAACACAGAGCAATGCATATTAAATTCTAGACAAATCTACTACTGCATACTTTGTGTTTGGTATCAAAGCTTCATCTGGCCCCACATTCAACATATGGTTTATAGTGTCAGCTAAAAAAAACAACCATAGATTCATGGGGAAATGTCAGAATATTGCAGTGATACAAGGCTATGCAGGGAAACAGTTCTCAGGATCAGCCTGCTAGCAGACACTAAGGTAAGATACCAAGCAGTTTACAGGAATCCGACGTTTGGGCTTCTTCAAAGGGGGAACAAAGTCTCTGTAGCTCACAGGGTATACAGGGTACCTCGCATACTATGAGAGCTGGGAATAGGTCCATTCACATGTACTATTTCATGGCTCTTTGGGTGCTGTTCCTTTTGCTAAGAATGTCTTCTCCTTAGCTGGTAAACTATGGCTCCACCTTTAGAGTGCAGCTCATGTACCACGAGTTCTATAAAACCTTTCTTGACTCCCCAGCTCTCTCCAGAAAGGGTGAAAGTCACCCTCCCGTGAGCCACCTTTATCACTGTACTCACCAACTACTACGCTGCCATTTGACAGGTGAAAAAATTAAGGTTCAGAGAAGTGACCAGTCCAGGGTCACATAGCTAAGCCACATCTCTTTCTACTAACCCATGGTATCACTCTGTCTTGGTTATTAAGCACTAGTTAGTTACTGCATAATCACTCAACACTCTTCCTTCACTTCTGCAGGATTAGACCCTTAAAAACCCTTGTGCCCAGGACCCATAAAGCATCCCAAAGTGGCAAACTGTCCCTCTACCTGAACTGGCTAGGATTTCTAACCGAAATGCTAAGCAGGAGATTCCCAGGAAGCCAGAGGATGAGACTGTTGCTGCTTAAATGACCGTAGCATTCCTCTGCTGGGAGAAACTAGGAAGTGGTTATCTTCTAATAATTTTATCAGAAATCACACATTGAATCCTTTCTTTCACATCAATTAAAATATCTTAGAACTTTCCTGTTATTGATTATTGATGTCCAAGACAGTCGACTGGCAGAATATGGTGCCACCATTATTATATCCCTGATAGCAATTCAACCACACCACTTAGATAGCACTTTTCACCTTTAAAGCACTTTACAAAGATTAACTAATTAATCATCCTCATACTCTCTGGGGAGGCCATAAACATTTTAGTTAAGACAGGTCCAGAAACCAGGCTAACTCAATGTTCAGTCTTCAGTTGCAAGCCTAAATTTAGTGCACTCTGAACTGTCTGTTTCTTTTCAAAATAAACTCTGCATGCAAAGGCTCACCCAGGGCAGAAGAGACCCTTTTATTTTTCCTTTTCTTCTAAGCAGACATTTATTGACCTCTTCCCAGGTACTCAGTACATTCATTGACACTGTCTCAATCCTCACAATAATGCTGTGGCCTATAGAGAGCTAAGCTGATTCTACAGATGAGGTTAAACAACGAAAGTTAAATGATTTGGTTGCGTTCAAACAACCATCAAGTAGTTGAATCAAAATTTAAACCTGTGTCTTCTGACTCCAAGGCCAATGGTATCTCCAATGATTGCACAGCTGCTGTCACAAACTGACAAAAGTTGGCTGATGAAACAGCCATTTTTACAGTGTTTGAAGAAGCGGAAAACTCAGATTAAATGGATATGCTCTGTGTACCATCCAGCTTTCCTCACTAAAATAATCTCCTTCCCAGGAGGCCATGTAGAACTCAGGACTGTAAGTGCTGAAATAAAGGCATCAAACACATGGATTATGATTTTATGTCACCTGGAGTAAAAGAAAACAATGAATCCACATATAAAAAATGTTCATTAATACATTGTGGATGAATGTCTGCATCAAGCTGATGCATGCTGTCAAATCCAAGGAGATTTGAGTCACAAATTTAACAAATGAATCTTCTCCTTAAAGGATTATACATTACTATGATAAAAAACAGATATGCTAACATCACCCAAAAAGTATAGGTATGTGTCTCCAAGTAAATAATAAATGAGAGAAATGACAAAATAGCTCAAAACAAAGTTAGCAGGCCGGGCGCGGTGGCTCAAGCCTGTAATCCCAGCACTTTGGGAGGCCGAGGCGGGTGGATCACGAGGTCGAGAGATCGAGACCATCCTGGTCAACGTGGTGAAACCCCGTCTCTACTAAAAATACAAAAAAAATTAGCTGAGCATGGTGGTGCGTGCCTGTAGTCCCAGCTACTCAGGAGGCTGAGGCAGGAGAATTGCTTGAACCCAGGAGGCGGAGGTTGCGGTGAGCCGAGATCGTGCCATTGCACTCCAGCCTGGGTAACAAGAGTGACACTCTGTCTCAAAAAAAAAAAAAAAAAAAAAAAAAAAACAAAGTTAGCAAGTGAAATACAATTTATAAGGCACGTCCATATAAGAACTGGCACAGAATAACTGCAGAGCCAAGAAGTATACACTGCAAAAGATATCAATGCACCGCAGAAAACAACAGAGGCCAAATGAGAAGAATAGAGAAAGAACACTTAAGGGGTCTGGAACTAGAATTTTCGTGGCAGGCTGAGGGAACAAGAGGCATTTAAGGTGAACTTCTGGATAAGAAAAGAAAATGGGAGGCTGAGGGAGGATATTGCAGGAACAGTATGAGGGGATGAGCAATGATATGAAAATCAAAAAGCGGCCAGGCACGGTGGCTCACATCTGTAATCCCAGCACTCTGGGAGGCCAAGGCGGGTGCATCACCTGAGGTCAGTGTTCCGAGACCAGCCTGGCCAATGGGGTGAAACCCCCTCTCTACCAAAAACACAAAAATTAGCTGGGCCTGGTCGTGCATGACTGTAGTCCCAGCTACTGGGGAGGCTGAGGTGGGAGAATCACTTGAACCTGGGAGGCAGAGGTTGCAGTGAACCAAGACGGCACCACTGCACTCCAGCCTGGGTGACAGTGGGACTCTGTCTCGAAAAAAAAAAATCAAAAAGCACGAGAGAGAAAGAGTCACAAGGAAAGGAGACTGGGAGGGGAGTCAAGACCGCCAGGATGGGGCCAGCCACAGGGAACTGCCATGCCTGGGTCTGGATCTCACCCTTCAGACCAGGGAACCCCAAACTTGGTTGCTTACTATTAGTAAAAAAAATTTTTTTTGAGATGGAGTCTTGCTACATCATCCAGGCTGGAGGACAGTGGCATGATCTTGGCTCACTGCAACCTCCACTTCCTGGGTTCAAGCAATTATCCCTCCTCAGCCTCCTGAGTAGCTGGGACTACAGTCATGCACCACCATATCCAGATTATTTAGTAGAGATAGGGTTTCACCTTGTTGGCCAGGCTGGACTTGAACTCCTGACCTTAAGTGATCCGCCTACCTTGGCCTCCCAAAGTGCTAGGATTATAGGCGTGAGCCACCGCAACCAACCTCTAATAGTAAAATATTTTTTAACACATCACCAATATATGTACATTAATTTATTAAAGTATGTATATTCATAAATCATAAATAGGTAGTCTCACTCAAAAGCATACAGTATAAAAACATGCTAAAAATAGAAAATAGAAAAGAATGAGATTAAAAACATATAAAAGAAGTTATAAGAATCTCTTCCAACTGGATGCAGTGGCTCATGCCTGTAATCCCAACACTTTGGGAGGCCAAGGCAGGCAGATCACCTGAGGTCAGGTGTTCAAGACCAGCCTGGCTAACATGGTGAAACCCCATTTCTACTAAAAATACAAAAAATTAGCCAGGCATGGTGGCACGCACCTGTAATCCCAGCTACTTGGGAAGCTGAAGGAGAATCCATTGAACCCAGAAGGTGGAGGTTGCAGTGAGCCAAAATCACACCATTGCACTCCAGCATGGGCAACAAGAGCGAAACTGTCTAAAAAGAAAAAAATTTCTTCCACACCCTAGCAATTCATCTTGCATACTCACCACTGCAAACTATACCATGGGGAAACTGTACAGACTTTTGAGCAGGGATGGGGCCTGATGAAAGGAATGCTTAGGGAATGGTACATCTGGCAAAGGATTGCAGGAGGCCAGAAATCATACTTTTTACAGCTAATGCTTCCATAGCACCTACTATGTGTCAAGCACTGCTCTA